CATATGAGACATTTTTGTGTGCCATATTGGAATTACATTATTTCTAGCTCTAGAAATATGGTCTCACCTAGCTGCCAAGGAGGTGTTCTCAGAACACTCCTCTGGGAGACCAAGAAGAAGAGCATATGGAAGAACTAGGCTGTTTCTGTCACAGAGTCTGTTTCATTTATTTCTTTTTATTTTCTCTCAAACATTCTGATGCATGTCATGTTCAGTACAATCCTGGCATTCCGCAAATATTAAATAACAATAAGGCTTGTGTTCACTATACTAGTGGTACTTTATGTTACTGGTTCCACTTCTTTAAATTCATGTGACTTTTTGGGGGAGAGAGAATCCTTATTTTTATGGTGTATATATTACAAATTCATAAATTGTATTCCTGAATGTTTTCCAATGTTACAATTGTCTCAAAATCCAAATATTTTTAGTGATCCAGAAATCATCTCTCAATCCTAACCAGTTTTCTGATTACCAATTAATCATTACTTTTTCTGTCTTCTGGTTTTTATCAGTAATGTAGAGTCCAAGGTTAATATCCTAGACAATAGGAGAAATAGAACAGATTTTGTTTAGAGTCTTTCTTGTTCATCAATCCTATGAAGTTTGATTTTATTATCCCCAGTCTACAGAAGAGAAAACAGAGATTTGGAAAAATCTAAACAATGTATTAGTGTGTTGGTGAGCAGGAATTTGAAGTCTAGTTTGTCTCCAAAGCCCACGTTCTTAACCATGGTTGTTTTCTTACATTGCAGTTTGCCCTGATCCACTGTGTCTGGAGCACAGGGCCCTTGTCTTTTCATCTCTGTATCACAGGGTATAATACAGTGCTTCATACGTCCGTGCTCAATACACTTTTATTGAATGAATGAAAGTATCAAAAGTTTTTCTCATGACTCAACCTCCTGTCTCTACAAATCCTTGGAAAAGATGTAATCTAAGTATAACTTAAGCCACTACTTCACTGCAAACTTTAACCAATTAACGTGAAATACAAAAGAATCTCCTTGAAAATTAACTTTGGGAAACAGTTTACTGATTTTGTAAATTTTCAAATAGCAAATCTGAGAGGGAGGAAACCAGAGGAAGGAAGAAATTCGTCCAGCTCAAGAGACTAGAATTTTGCCAGAATCCAAGGATTTGTTTGCAAATGGCTTTTGATAGCAAATTCACTGCATTCCAGATAGGATCAGACACATCCTACAAGAAATTCTTGGGTAGTCATCTGTTGTTCATTGTGAATAAAAAACTCAAGGTACAGGTAGGATTCTTCATTGCAGACAATTATAACTGTGTGTCTTTTTGTTACCTATTGTGCCAATTAAAATATCTCTAAAGATTAGACATAGAAGCAAAGTATTAAATAGAAACTACATGGTGTCTTTTAGAAGTAAATAACATATAAGGATTAAACTAACCCCATTATATTTAGCTTTGTGAATTGACATTGTATCTTTGTAACTTACAGACAGCAGGCAATCTTGTGGTACTTTGAATCTATTACAGCACTTTTTCACTGTTTGGTCATTCAACCCCTTGTCATTTATGTTTTCATTTATTCATTCTCACAAACTTTTATTGGGCACCTTCATATTTCTTAATACTCACTATCAATGTAAACCTAAGATGTCTCTAATCTTGGGAAATTTGCATTTGAGTATGGACACAAAATTGAAATAACTGTGATAGAGCAAGATATGCGCTTAAATAGGTGTATGTATACTGAGTCACTGGGGAGGGGGGCCTGTGTGTAGGAGGAGTTGGAGAAAGTAATATGTGGTGGGGTTTGAAGGATGAGTGTGCATGTCTCCTCTCCTTGATCGTGAGCTCCAGGATTTCAGGAATCGTGTCTTCTTCACCTTTGCGTCCATCACAACACAAAAATCATCCTTGACAACATATTTTCAGCTGAACGAATACTTAGAGAATTGAATAAATGCATTATCTTTGTGCAAATCTTCCTTTCTTGATTAGTCAACAAGATGATATGATAGAGTAGTGACAAATAGAGCTTCTAGCTAGCTCGGGACCTGCTTTCACCATTTGTTAGCTGTGTGACCTGGGCTATCATGTGAGTTATTATTTAGCAGACACTTGGCACTGAGGATACAGAAATGAACATCACAGGTTCCACTCTCAAGAACCTCCAGCATCTCTTAGTTCCTTTGCCACATTTTCACGTCTGTGCTGGATTAAACTGAGATTTAAACACAATCTTAGGACTAGCTCTAGGAAGGAAAGATGATTCTTGTTTGTTTGTCCATTTCCTTTGGGATGGCTGGCACACCGTGTGCTGCAGCCAGGCTCAACACTGATTTTTCAGAATTCCTTGAAAGAGAGTCAGATTCCATAGTGAGCTCACGGAGACCAGTTCCCAGAGCATCTGTCCTGTCTGTTTGCCTGTAGCAAGTCCTGACTGGGAAAAACAAATCTTTGAGGACAAAGGCAGCCACGACCTCTCTATAATTCTTAAAGTCCCTAAAATGTCGCTGAAAAGCCTCCAAGTGTTGTCTGTGTTTGGGTTTGTGGTGGTTGCTTTTAATATGACTGTGATTACACAGAAGAAACAGCCAGTTCAATGAACATGTTGAAAATGTGAGCTGCTCTCAAGTACAGTCTGGTTGCTTATAAAATGAAATTTTGGGCTTCAATTATTGACCTTGCACGCAGAACAGAAACATGCCACCTTGTTAACAAGTGCCAGTGAGTGATGGGCCCTGGTCATTCCCAGCGAGTCCCCAGAATCTGCTGTGAGCAGTGCAGCTTCCAGAGAAGGGACATCACTACTTTTCTCATTTTCGATGCAAGCCAGGGATTCCCCAGTGTCTCAGAGGAAGTCGTAGATGTATAACTGTCTGGTTGTCTTCACTCCCTACAAGAGTGCCCCATGCAACACAAATAACTTCCATCCTGCTGGTCACAGAAGCTCTTACTGAGTGCTCTCATCGTTTCATTTCGGAAATAGAAATATCTGTGAGTTGAAAAAATATTTGCACATCATTCATCACTCCTGCTCCTCCTAGAAGTTTCCTGTTGAATCAAGGGCTGGAGGAATTATTTGGAAGGTGTTCAGATAATTTACTCTCCAAACTGGGATGGTTTTGAGAGTAAAAGGGCCAGCAGGTACAAACTAGGCTTGTCCCAGGCCAACCGGAACACAAGATTGCTTTCGCTACGCGAGAAGCTTTTCCTTTTGTATTTCCTGGTTTCCTGAAACACTCACTGTGACTAAATGGTTGCTACCTAAACATTGTCAATAGTCTAGAAGTGACAGGGTCTGTGGGGATCATAACCACCTTTTTAGGAGCTTGGAAATAAATATCTGAAGTAGAATTTGTTGCTGCTTCGTTATAGAGAGTTATCTTTCAGCCTAACGTGGAGAAGCTCTCTCTGAAATCAGTCTTCTAGTTATGTTTGTGTCTCTTGGTGATCTGTACTCAAAAAATTCTGAACTGAGAGCCGTGACCTAGCGCCAGCCCTTCCTCTCTGGGAGATATAGCCCCCAGTCATTTCTGTATCTCAAATTCTGAAATTTTTAGTGACCCAAGGTGTGTCCCACAGAACCACACACCTGTAAAATTTCAGAAATGAGAATCTAGGTAGTTGTTGATAATTCATTTTCTGGGGATTTATAATAAATGCACACACAACCTGACTACAGGAGCTGAAGGTGCCAAAGAAGTGCTGGGCCCTGAGGCCTGAATGCATTTGGAAGCCCAATGGCTGCCGTACATCAGAGGACTGTGTGGACTGAAAGACACCAGCCATAAACCAGGAGGAAGACGGTAGTGGACAGGAGAAGGCAAAGCTGGAGTTGCCCCGTGTAAAGAGCATCACGTTCTCTCTCTGTACTTGGCTTGAATGTCATGAGATGCGTGACAGGTTTCAAACTACAGTCACAGCCCTGTGCACGACTTAGGACTTGTTAAGGAAATTAATCAGAAAGTAGCTGATGGGCCCTGAGCTGATGCCTACATCAGGGCGGTGCTGAAAAAGACTCCAAAGTACGTTTTATTCATTAGGTATTATATCCCAATCTTAATTAGATTTCTATTCCTATAAGACTGCTGCAGTTCAGATAGTTCCAGGAGAACTAGGGGAAGATTCCCAGCCAACAATGGCTAGATTCCAAGACCTAATTACATGGAGAGATTTTGTAAGAGTGAGCTGAGTCTGGCATAACAGTTGGCAGCTTGTCTTTCTGCAATAGTGTCAACTCCTTCAGCTCAGAGGTAAGCCTTTGGACCAGACAATCTATACATGAGCCAGCATTTGCTGAATCTAAAAAGCCAGGTCCTGGAGCAAACAAACCTAGAAGACTTCCTTTCACCAGGAATGGCTGAGGAATGAAGAGCTCGGATTGACTCTCATAAATCAAGTCCTGAAGTGAATCCACAGTTTTGAAAGAATTAGGGCAGTAGTCCCCAAACTATACTCCCCAGAACATTAGTTTCACAAGGTATTAAAAGTATCCTGAAAAAAGGCATTCCTCAGCCAAATAAATTTGGGTAGCAGTGCATGTTATTATGCTCCTCTCTAAGCTTTGCGGGACATATAAAGATTTAAGTCTCTGAGACTGCAATATAAAAACATCGGTTTAATACTCTTTAACCCAGAGTTTCCTGAACTTATTTGTTCATAGATATTTTGAAAGAACACCAAATAATATCTGTAATTACACTCAATACCAAAACTGTGCCAAACAGCCTCAGTTTAGTTTTTGGTGATTGAGAAGCTAACACAGTATTTGTAGTGAGAAATGTCTTCATGACCATCAGGTCTCATTCATTGTTCAGTATATGAGAAAGCATTCCAAAATGAGCTTTCAATTTGTTTGGATTCTGGAAGAAGTGAGATTTGGTTCCTCCTGTAAGTTTCATCATAGGTGACTAACCAGTTTTAATTGATATGTTGACATGAGCATGTTGTAGGTGTTTACTGAAAGGTTAGTGTCAAAAGAAGTTAATGTCCTGGTGGGCTTGTGTTTTTCTCTGAGGCAGATATTGATGAATGTACAGAGGGACTCATTGAGTGCCACAACCATTCCCGCTGCGTTAACCTGCCCGGGTGGTACCACTGTGAGTGCAGAAGCGGTTTCCGTGACGATGGGACCTATTCACTGTCCGGGGACTCCTGTGTGGGTAAGCAGCTTTCAGCCATGCCCTCCGTCCATATGGGCCCTGCAGGAGGGGCAGCCTGCTTTGGTAGTCTCTTCAGCTCCCAGTGCTAAAATATGACCACCCACTGGTTAAACTCATCAGTCTTCACATTTCTTCCCTCTGCAATTCAGAGATAATGCAGTGTGGGGTTTTAGTATTTTTATACAGAAACTGGGACAGTCAGAAGAACAAAGCCTGGGTCTGTATGCTATGGCATTTCATTCTTTCTAAGGGAAACCATGATGGCTTGCTGGAAGTTTTAACGGTTTCAGAGGCAGCCGTGGGAGATGAGGAAATGTGACTGGACCCTGGTTTCATTTAAATTCCAGCTCTTGTGCTGCAAAAGTCACTGCATCCCTCTGAGCCTTCATCTGTGAATATGTACAAATGGGGATAATATTACACATACGTTGTTAGGACTAAATGGGATACCATCTATTTAAAGACTGTAAGCTTTCAATCGATGCACAAATCTGATACAGTTGCATTGAACTTATTATCATTGCTATTACCACTGCCTTTAGTCACTGTTCTGCTTATGGTTCTGTTAACTGCTGAACAGAGGAAGTTAACAGATGGAGTTCTTCACCTTCAAGACCTTACAACTTTCATGAAATCCAAACAGCTGATCAAAGATGTAATTGTTTCCACAACAACCTTGGCCAATCCAGTTATTTTATATCATGTGGACTCTGCTGAATTCTTAATGCTGATTTGGACACACCTAGAGGGCAAGCATTCTGACCACAGGTTCCCAAAGTTCAGACTGCTGAATTAGAAAATAGGAATTTGATTTTGAAAATGTGTTTTCTCTGTTCATTGCATATCTGTTTTTTCTAAAGGTTGCTACTGAGATCCACTTTGTGTTTTTCTAACCTCTCCCCTGAGGTTGCCCTAAAGCAGAGATAGATTAGGGAACAGTGGGCACACAGCATGAACTGCCCACCATAGTCCTGACATGAATGTTGAGAGGCACGCAGTGTAGTTGGTAAAAGTGTGGACCCTTGAGCCAAACTTCCTGCAGTCAGATTCGAGCTCTGCCACTTCTAAGTAGGTTACCTGGGCCAGGCCTCACCTAGTCTCTACCTCAGCTGTCTCATCTGTAAAATGGAAATGTTCCTATCTAGTTCTTATGAGTGTTGTGAGAATTAATTGAATTAATATCTGTTGAATGTTCTGTAAATGTTAGTTACTATTATCTTAAACTTCCTGCTTATTCAACACTTTGCACCATACTCCATCCGTGTTTCTGTTATTGTTAAAATAACGATGTATGACCTTAGGGAGAGGTTTACCTTTATCCTGGGTCTGCATGTCCTTCCTTTACACATGGCCTTCTGTAAGGAAGGGACTTCTGTATGTGTGCAACTCCGTGTAAATAGGTGTTATGTGAACAGGAATAGATCAGACGGCTATTGTTGAGGAATGGAGACAGAAAGAGAGAATATTGACGTATGTGATTTTAAATTTGGGAGCTAAAAATAAAAATTTCATTTTTAAAAAACTGTGTGTGGCATCATTAAAAGGGGAGACTTTGAGCTTTTTAGCACATAAAGGACCTTAGAGTCACCTTGTTGATTTGATTTTGTAACTGCCTGGACCTGCCATGGTGTTGCACACCTCTGTGCCTTTGCACATGCTGTGCCCTCTGGCTGGAATGGAACAGAACTCAGAATCAGAGATGACCCCCTCCTTTCCTTGATCACACTGATTCACATATAAATTTCTGTTCATTTTCCTAACTTCAGCTCCTGTTTCACTAGCCCCCGGGAGGGAAGCACTCTCCAGTCATTTGGTGGGAGTCATCACTCTTCTCCTCTGCTAACCCTAGACCTTCCCTCTACTCTGTGTTTCTATAGCTTCACCTGTTCCCCCACCATGCATTTGCTTTCCGACTAGATGGTGAACAGGAAATGACATTATTCCTCTGTCTTGCCAGTGGGGCTCTTTGGTAGCTGGTGTTCCATAAACCAGAAAATGCAACCCCTTCATGTTCCTGATAAAGAAACACAGTCCCAGAAAGGGTGGCACCTTGCTCCCAGCCACCCGGCTGGTTTGATGCAAGTTGAGACTCGAGCCTAGGTCAAGGTGACTCTACATCCCAGATGCTAGGGACAGTCCCACTTTGTGCCTGCTGTTCTGATGTAATTATCAATAAGGCCCTGCCACTCCCATAAATGTCCCCATTAGAATGACAGATGTCACAGCCACCTCACCTGCTGATTTCTCCTGACCACACTGAGTGGCGTGCCTGGGGCGACTGAAGCTTCTGCACTCTCTGGGGAAGTACTGTCTTCATCCACGAATTGATCCCTGGTCTACACAGGAAAGCTTCAGCACACTGGACTCCTTGGCAAGAGACTAGAGTTGTTTGCATTAGTGGCATTTTTAATTTTGGTAATTGTTAATCTGAATTCCCTTCCATTTCCATGCTTTTGGAAATATCTTTGTAAATGAGTCTTAATAAGAACAGAAATATAGCCATCATTTCGTTTTTCTTTGGTAGTTGAGGACACTCCATTGGTTCAGAATATTTCTTGGTGAATCAGTCGTATAAATCAGATCGTGTCTTTTTCTTGTTACAACCTTCTAATGCCTTCCTGTTGAATGTAAAACAAATTTCTAACTTCTTTGCATGGCCTTCAAGGCTTGGGATGATATTGTCCCTGCCTACTTCTTGGACTTATGTCCTACATATGTTAGCCTTTTAGATCTTTTCATGCCTTGAACATGACCACGAATTCACCCAGTTTCAGGGCCTTTGTCTTTTTTCTGTGCTTTGTCTAGAACACTCAAGCCCTGTCTTGTTGCATGGCTGTCTTCTTTTTCATTTAATTCTCAGCTCAAATGCCACTTTTTTGAGGAGACCCTCCCTGACCATTTTATCTGAAGTAGTCCTTCCCTGGTCACTTCATTACATCACTCTTTTATATCTTTTATAGCATCTTTTATTCTCGGATTCACTGTGAATACGCATGTGTGTCCTTGTCTCTTGCCACAAGTGTGCAAACTCTTTGAGAGCAGAGACCTTGTCTGTGTTTCTGCACTGTACCTCCATCCCCGAGAACAGTGTAGGCGCAGAGTAGGCATTCAATGCATCTACGTCAAATAATTGGAGGAATAGACAATCAAAACCATATCAGGTCAGATTTATTTTCTATTTGGTTTGACATAACTAGTTGTATAGAGCACAACCAGTGTGGTGCATAACATAAGATGTTAAACATCACAAAATCATGTGAGTCTTTTATTTTAGACAAAAAGAAATATTTATTGAGAACAACTATCATACCAGCTCTGTGTTAAGCCTTCTGGGAAGATGGGTATAAACCAGATAAGATCTCTGTTCTTGAGGGATTTATGGCCTGAAATGTTCAGAATCATAATAACATATCTTAACGGCACTGAAAATTAGCATATCAGAATGAGCCCTAAATAACATCAGCTACTAATGCTTACCTTTAAAAGAAATAGCAGCATCTAAGGAAATTAAAAAAAATTTTTTTTAAAGAGTAGTTTTGCAACATGTACTCAGCTATGCTTTTTATCCCAGACAAGGTCAGAAATGGCATGTGTTAGATTCTAAAGTGTGGCAGGTGTAGGCTTTTAGGAGAAGTCTTATGTCACTCCGCGCCATTTTTTGTTAGATGGGGATAATAACACCGGCTCTGTCGACTTCATCAGTTACTGTGAGCATCGGATGTCATTGGCATCATAAAGAACAGCACCCATGCACAGTATACTATTTCACGAGCAAAAAGGTTTAAGAATTGCCTCTTTCTAAAGTAGATCATATGCTTGAAGAAATGACTAGTCCTAGGTATTATTATTATGGAGGCAGACAGAATCAAGGTTCTTGAGTTTATCAGAGCCTCTCTCTCGCCCTCTCATTTGCTCTTGTATCTTTATAATGCCAGGAGAGATGGATGCACAAAAATTAGCCAGGTCGTATTTGCAGAAGATGAAGGCGGTGACCCGTCGTTACCATAGGTGCAGCACACCCTGGGTCTGGACGCAGTGGTGGGAGTCAATGATTCTCAGTTTTAACAGAGAAGTTGTGAGCAGTTGCTTTTTTTTATCTCGGCATACTTATCTGGGTCATTTAGAAATGAGACCGATATACAGTAAACAAAGGTGTGCATAAAGAGCAGGATTTTACATGTTTTGAAAATAAGATTCAAACACCCTCAGATGTTAACCTGTCTCCATGATCTTGCCCCTGCATATGAGACTTCCTTTTCCTCTGCCCCCTCTCATACTCCGTGTGGATCCTCAAACCTGCTCAGATCCTTCTTCAGCTCTTCGCAAACCCTGCACTCTCTTTGCCCTCCTCCTTTGCTTGCATGCTTTTCCCTGACCTTCCCTATCTCCCCATTTCCACTCATCAAAGTCCTGAAGAAGTCCTGCTCCCGAAACCAGTGATTCTCAAACCTGTTTCACAGTACAGTCACTTGAGTAACTTTTTAAAAATATCTATGATTGGACATCACTGCCTGGAAATTCTGAGTCAGTTGATCTGTTGAGGGACTTAGATGAGGTAATTTTTTTAAAAAAAAAAGTCTCCAAGTGATTAGAAAGAATATTCAGCTAACATAGAGAGCCACTATAGATTTTCTCTAATTAAAAAAAAAAATGCCTCCCTCTTATGTGTCCCCACAGCCATTATTTGCACCTATTGTGGAACCTCTTTCATTTACCAGATCGGGCTTATCTTCTTCATCAGTTCTTTATAGCCTCCGGTATGGTTGAGGTCTTTTACAGATTTATGTTGAATTAAATTGTATTGATCATGCATTATTTTTTCTTATCAAACAAAATGTTCAAATCCCAATAAAACCCATTTTGTTGATCAAGGCACATCCAAAGATGGCATCTGTCTGTTCTTAGGGGACGTGGCGCCTCTCGGCCCCATGATTACCTCCTGCACGGGCCCTGGTTGGGTAAAGCATGTTCCCAGGCTCTGGAGCCTGCTCCCTGGTCAC